GGCAGTAGGTTGGAGAAATGTTGATTTTTTTTTAAAAAAAACGTAAATCTATTATTTAGATGCATTCATTTTGTTTATGCAGTTGTGGGGAAGTGTTGCTGTCATGTTGGCAATAGTTTACAACAAGTGTATCTAGGAAAAGCAATGGTAATGCCATGCTTCCCGGAAACTGAAGCCATCTCTACTGCTGCGTCCTAGTAGGGAGTGTTCTTTTTCTGGTTCCCCCCCTCCTCCTGGCTCAGTTCTTTCCCCCTCCCTGATAGAATCTGGGGTTTGAGTTGTGGGGGAGGATACAAGCTTCTGTGGGTGAGCTGCATAGTTGTCACAGGGAGGCCCCAGTGTGAGACTGTAAGGCCATGTCATTTTTTCCTGTAAATCTTGTAATTTCGTGCTTCAGAGCACAACAAAGTGAGAGAGTCAGCAGGGAGTGAATTAAATTCCCCCATGAGAGCTCGTATGGGGTGGGCCTCTTCCATTCTGTCTGCAGTTCCCTTGGCTCTCATGCACCATGCTGTGCATCCCCTTAATCGAGCATCAGGCCTCATGTCGCCTCCTGCGTACCAGCCTGGCTTGGTGCCCTCTTGACATGTTCCGGCACCCGTCACAAGTCGTATTCTTCTTGCACAAGCCACTACCAGTTTAATAAACTCACACAGACTTTACAGGGTTCCCAAAGCCCATAAAACAGAGGGCTGTCCCTACTGTCCCCTTGTGAACAAAGCTCCCGTTGTGTGGCTAATGCAATTAAAAGGGGGTCTATTGGATACTTCATAGAGCTTGCTCAGGCACCACAGCTTCTTCTGGCAAGCCAGCTTTCTGATCATTATGGCAACTTGTGCTGTTGCTTACCTTCTTTTTCTCTCTTATTTATGTATATGCCTAGAACTCCTCTTGAACTTTGGTTAATTAATTAATTTTAATCTTTAAAAATGATGCATTAGAAGAGACTGAGAAGCAGTTACATGAAGTCTCAAAGACGCTGAAACATTTGCATTGGAGAGACGAGTGAAAAAAAGACTCAGAAATGTTTAGTGCCTCATACTTAAGAATTTTTAAAAAGGTATCATCTGAACCTGAGTTTCTGTTTTTTTTGGTTGTCACGTTGTCTTGAAGTACTTTACAATGATCTTTGAACTGACCTTTGCAGATTCGTGTTTTTCCTTATGGGGTCAGTGATATTATAAGAAAGAATCTGCATTGTGGTCAGTGAGGCCACAGAACTGAATGGATTCAGTCCAGATCACATGGCAGGCCAGTGCTGCTGTGTCATGAATTCAGCACTTTTGAATTGCAGTCAACCCTGATCTTCCATGGGAAGCTGTTCTTGGGCAAACTTGTTGCAAAATGGATACTGTCAAATAGGCAGCAGCTTTTCGCTATACTGTACTGTACACTGGAAGTGCATAAAAGCCCTGTGTGAGCTTGATGTCACAAGGATGTGAAAACCAGATTGTGCAACTGAAACTTTTAAACCATTGAATCTTGAACAGGATTTCATTGTAGCTACTTACTTTTGTCATTTTGGCTGGTGCTTCTAGTAGACAAATGCAAGGAAACTCATCTTTCATCCCTAAAGTCTCCCTTGATTTATTAGAACCACTTACACTAAAACAGACTATTGAGATACCGTGTGCTGATGCGTAAATTCATGAACTTGAATTCTTAGCTGTTTTCAGTGTTCAGTAAAATGTCTTTCATGATTGTTGTGGGATTTCTTAAACTGGTGTAATGGAATTTGATTATTACTTACCTTGTATATCTTACAAATGCAATCTTGAGTCTTACTTCACTGGTGACTGTGCTCTAAATTTATTCATAGAAAGGTGTATAATAACAACATGGAAGAGGGAGGCTGGAGGTTGCTATGGGCAGCTTTAAAAATGCTTGTGAGAATATTAGAAGTCTCAGTCACATTTACTTTTTAGCCAGTGAGCTCTTTTTCAACCTGTAAATAACAGAAAATAACATTGCACTTCTGTCTAGCATTTAGCGAAACTTTTTATAGACCATCTGGTCTCCTTTAGACACCTGTTTGGTGTCTTAACTTTAAGCAGCCTGAGGAAAAATTGGTGTGTGGAAGATGCACACATGTGGTGCTTTCATCTCCTTAATGGCCAGCATGTAATGCTATGCCAGTGTCAGGAGTTTCTTTGTCTCTCCCTTCAACCTATAGCTCTCTGTTGTATGGAAATTTGTTTTGGAATAGTTTTCTAGCTTTCTAGATCCAGTGTTTATGGCATAAAGTTAAATATTCCATTGGATTCTCCTCATACTAATATTGAAATAAATAATATATCTGGCTCGTGGTGTACAGTTCTAGTTGAATAATAATGGTATGTGCATTTTGCTGCAATGAACGTCATATTGTTTATAATTACAGTTTGTAGAGTCATTCAGGCAAAGTTACCAGAGATACTTTATCCTGCTTTGATTCATAGACAGTTATGCGTATATGAGAGACTCCTATCTTTGTTCTATTTGTGCCGCATATACCTATTTGCTTCCATTATGCATATGCAGCACTACACTTTGCATGTGCATATCTAAATTGCAGAACTAGGTAGTGAACACTTTCAAAGCTATACACCCGTCTTATTCAAAACTACAACCATATGATTTCTTATCTTGTATTTGCATGCAATGATGTATGCAGTTATACTGCATATGGGGTAAATGTGCACTCACTAATCTGAGCCATGTGTAAAAAATCAGCTGCTCCTCCAGGCAGAGAGAGTACGGTACAGTATGAAAGGTCTAAATGCCTGACGGAAAGTAACTTTGTTCTTTATAGCTGGAAATGTGGAAAATTAACAAGCAGCTCTTTCTCTGGGACACACCCTGCAAGTGCCTCTGCTGACTGGGGAGAGCACAGCCGCCCTTTGGAAGCCAAAGCCTTGATTTACGGCGGCAGTGTTGACAGCTCAGTGGAACCCACATGCTGTTTGCAGCACCGCCAAGCTGGGCTATGACCTGCCGACCTCTACCCCTGTACTCCCCCCTCCTGTCTCTATGCTGTAATAAAAACCTGTCTTGCAGGCTGGGCTACAATGACTTTGTTGTTCAAATATATACCAAATTTTTTGTGTGTGGGGGGGGGGTTAAATTCTTCTCAAAGCAAAAATAAGGAATGTATGAGGAAGCGGGGCTTTGGGAGCAACTGTTTTTGGTACCACAGGACTGTTTGTGTTAGAGGCTATTCTCTGCTTGCAGTCAGCTCCTGAGTAAAAACCCTTTTCCTCTGAGCAAGGATATGCTTTTTTCCCCCTCTGAGGTATTGCCTTCTGGTCTGACGTACTTGGTTGCATTTCTTTCTTACCCGTGCTTGTGTTCTTTCACATAGTCCATGTCTTCATATACATCTTTCATTTATCTTCAGCTAGTTGGCAATCATGGTTATGCATTTGAAATTTGGAGACCAGCCATTCTGCATCCTACCCAACCCCAAAACTAAGATCAGGTTCAAGAATATAATTATATTTGCTTCTGCTATTCAGAACTCAGCCATTTGAAATATTAAAAAAATAATGTTCACATTTTTATAGAATTAGGCTTCAGTGCAGTTGATGGATTATTTATTCCACCTATAAGCAACCTGTTGTGTTATGAGAGGCTACCTGCACAGCCAAGTTGCCAAATTCCTCTCCTTTGGCATTGCACACTCCTGCATTGGCATTGCAGTTGTGCTAAGGAAGAAACACAAAAAACATAACTTTTCTTATATGTCTTCTTCCCCAGAAGACCCGGGATTCTGAGAGTCTGCCAAACATCTCTTGTTCAGATTGTCAGCAGCATGACTGCAGCAGTGAAGAAGTTATATGAGAAGACATGTTCATGTACTCAGTTCTTCAGCAAATGGGAAGAGATGTGATCTCTGGGTGTAGAGAGAGGAAATGTAAACCTATTCATTTCTGAATGTTGTGATGGGATAGAGGATGTGTGGGTGTGCACATAGCGATGTTACCACCCATGGTTCCTGAGGGCAAAGATTGCCCATCCCAATCTAGTCTACTTTTACTGAAAGCAGTATATGCATATTTTGCTTCTTTATTTATTTATATTGTAGGATTCGGGCCAGGTTACAAAGTTGTGTAAAACAATTTAAAACATAATATTGGGAGAGGGCTGTCCCCAAAGCAAATAGAATTTACCTCTCTGATCCATGGAAATAATTTCCAGTGAAAGTTTGCAGAAAGTTATAAAAAATTCTGACTTGCTGTGAATGATCCATTGTGCTAATGCATGTTGTCTGGTTGCTCCTTCTTCGAGAAGGAGGGGTTAAAGAAAGCATGGCTTATGACTTTGTGAAAGATAAGATAAAGTGCAAGGTTTTAAGGGCACAATAAATAAACCGTGTGCGGAAGGCTCTTCCTGCTTGTAACATGAACAATTTGAAAGCATGTACAAGCACATGCCTTGTAAATATTGTACCCTGGCTTATGGTGACTTTCAGACTGGAGCATTGTCTTTTTACACTCACTTCTTCTGAAACAACAGATGGTTTACCATTTCTGTGTTATTTAGTGGGAAATCAGCATTGAGAAAGAGGATGCAAGTCTTCCAAGTCAGGTAAATTAACTTGATTTACCTAGGATTTTCAGTACCTACTAATACTCTGTTTTTACACTGAAATTGGTGATCAGTAGTCTCTATTCAGGTTGCTCCTCAGGTTCACTTAAAATTTTCAGGTCATTTATTTGGCCAGAAGTCTTCTGGTGTTGTAGACATGTTTCTTCATTCTTCACACACATGGAAAAGAAATATTGACAGAAATGCAAAGCTTCCCACAGATCTTGTTCTTTGCATTAATTCTACTCCAGCATTGCATGATCCATACAGAGCAGTTTGGGAATTCTTACTTGATCTGTTGTCTTCAACACATGAACCATTTTAATTTTTCAGAGTTGTTTGCATATGTTGCCAGCTGGCTGCACTGGGAAGTTTTAAATGAGAGATTAACTTTTTTTTTCTTCTCATTCTCTTTTCTGTTCCTTTCTTTCCAGGCTCTTCAGGTGGCACGGCAGTTCCTTTTGCAGCAGGCGACAGGGTTGACCTCTCCCAGCAGCAATGAAAATAAGCAGCCAGCTGTTCAGGTGAGAGGCAGCAAAAACTTGGGCACTTCTTTTCAAACTACAGTAGGAAGAGTGAAGGTAATTCTTCTGGAAAGAGTGCCTTTGAAACATTGTGCTTTTATTATGCAATTTTAAATATGACAACTGATCCATAAATCAACTATACGACTGCTGTTGCAGAGTTCTTGAGAGTAAGGCATTGTAGCTATTCCCATTGTACAGATGAGGATAAAGTACTCCAGGAAATACCCTTTAGCAGCTGGCTTGGGGAAACCGAGTCTTCACCGAATTTGGATAGATTGTAGAGGAGAATCAATAGAAGCTTCTCTGGATTTTGGTGTCTCTAGGTGCCTTCGGGGGAACTTTCCTTGGGGAAGGGGCTCCTTGTAATGTTGGTGTTGCTAGGTGCCCGGGGGAGCATTTTATAGCCCAACGAATAAAAATTGCTAAAAATTCATTGATTTGTATTTGTCGGGGGCATTGATTCATACAAATACAAATTGATGAATTAGCAATTTTTAAAACAAATTTGGTGATTGATTTTTTAAATTTGTGCTCAGCTCCGTTCATCTTTCTTGGATGTGATGGAGAGATTGTATCTACTTATTCAAAAACCAGCTTTACACCCATGCTAGATTTTATGTAGCAAATATTTCAAAATAGTTTTTAAGCCACAGGTCGCTGAATGACATCCTTTTAGATTTTTGTACTTGCTGAATAATTCTGTAGAAGTAATACTGATATTATTTAATTCATTGAGGCTAATAATGGAGTAGAAGGCAGAAATATCTGGATTATTTTGAATTGGGACTGGCTTATTCTTAGTCTTGCTTTTGGCTGAGGACATATTTGCTGGATGCTTGTTTGTTGGGTTCCTGTTCTTGAGGAATTTTAAATAGTTGGAGGCACAACATTTCACTGAATAAGAGGAGAGAGAAAGTCTTACGTGTTGGGAAAGTTGACAGAAAAGGTGGACATCACAGTATTTTTGGGTAGGCCAGGAATCAAGAAGTGTCTGTTGTTCTGTAGTTTCTTTAAAGAACATTAAACAATAAGGAGAAAATATTTCTCCTTAGCAACTTGCTACCAGCAGTCTCAGTGTGGAAGGCATTTGTTGGTGATGTGACACACTAGGGTTTTGTGTCTTATCCCTTAAGGACTTAACTTGAAACAGTTCACAAATACATAAAGGGCCACACATGGTCCTTTTAAAGGTGAGAGCAATTGTCACAGACTACAGTTTATTGGTAAAGCTGTCCCACTTGGTAATACAACAGAATGTGGTCATGATTTGTGATGAAACATCTCAGTTGATAAAAGGATAAAAAGAAAATCCCTAGTTACCACATAATGAATATATACTTTGATTCTGTATAGACATTTAACACTTAAGGCTGCAACATTATTTGGGTGCCAAGAAATAGTGAGAATTTTTATAGAAATCTTGCTATGAAGATGGGCTGTAGTTTGGATGCTTGCTTGTTGTGTTCCCATTCTTGAGATCAGCCTTGTCTTCCTATTGAGTTTCACCCACTTCTTGTGTTTGCCAGCTTCCTCCCTGTCTTGCAGGGGTCATCAGGTCTGATTATTTTCTGTCTATGTCCGCTGCACATGTGCTGATTAATTAGACCATATTGCATCCTAGCTTTACATCAAATTCTACATGGAAATTTGTAAGCAGTTTATCCTAAAATATGCATTTTATCCTAATACCAGGATACAAGTCCTTCTGGAAATGTTTTATATGTTATGGTGAACACTCAATCCCAAAATTGAAAGCAATGCAGAATCAGAAGGGGAAATGTATTTTGAACTTCACATTAATTTATAAGGTGCAGATCATGACAGTTTGCTTCCAAGTGAGAACAGAATGTAATCTGTGAACAGTCCTACCATCTCCATCCATTTGGACCTTCATTTCCATCTACTGTCTTATCTGAACTCTTTATTTCATTCCTTTGTGCCCTGCTTTTGTTTCTTCAGTCTCAGTTTAGCTGCAGCCCATTCCTGTGGACATGTTAGTAAAGTCTGCATAGCTCTGTGATAATACATGTTTTCTTGGATGAGTTCTCAGGTTCAATCTCTTGCATTTCCAGCTAAATGATATTGGGAAAGATTTCTGTTTGAGACCATGGATTGGCAGCATCATAGGCATCCTTCAATCTCGAGAGACTATGGTAACGTGCTCTGTAAGGAGGACTTGGAACAGTGTCTAGTATTTTGACGCTGTAAGCGAAGCTGGAGTGTCCTCTCCAGGGCACGGAGGCTGGGTAAAATAATATGGAGGATAGGCTGTTACCCAACCAGCAAATCCCCCCTCTCCACGTCACTGAAATAGTCCAGTGGTAAGGCAAGAGCTAATACAACTGGTTTCAGCGACGTCGCAGGAGTTGACAGAATGACCCGAACTGCCTCCGGGACTCCGACTCCGGATTTTGCCTCGAGGTTAACTCCTGAAGCCTTTTCCATCGATGGATATAGCCACAACGCAATGGAGGTTTGAAGTCGGAGTTTTCCTTCTCCTAGATGGGCTGCCTTCCAGGGCTGACAAGCCCCACCTACCCATCCTGCTCCCTCATGGCATAGATGGCGATGGCAGCGCCTCAGTGAGGAGTTGAAATCAGAGTTTTCCTTCTCCTAGATGGGCTGCCTTCCAGGGCTGAACGAGTCCCACCTACCTGGCATTGGCATCAAAAGATAGACAAAACTGGGTTAGAAGGACCAATAGTCTTTGGTATATACAGTATAAAGCAATGTCATTACGACCATAATCCCTCATGGCATAGATGGCGATGGCAGCGCCTCAGTGAGGAGTTGAAATCAGAGTTTTCCTTCTCCTAGATGGGCTGCCTTCCAGGGCTGAACGAGTCCCACCTACCTGGCATTGGCATCAAAAGATAGACAAAACTGGGTTAGAAGGACCAATAGTCTTTGGTATATACAGTATAAAGCAATGTCATTACGACCATAATCCATTCCATAACTCGAGCATAACTCGAAATGGTCGTAAGTCGAAGCACCATTTCTCACAAGAATGCATTGAAATGCAATTAATCCATTCCGGCTGAAGAAAAAAAATCACTAAAGAAAAAATCACTGCAAGACTCATTGGAAACGTGATTAATCCCTTCCAGCTGAAGGGGGGGGGGAAGAAAGAAAAGCAATCAAGCGTGCAAGACCCATTGGAAATGCACAGAAAACAAATGGAGCAGATCGGAAATACAAAGAAAACAAAGGAAAACAAGGGAAGCATGCAGGACCCATTGGAAATGAGGAAAAAAACCCCAAAAGCAACCAAACCCCCCAAGACCCGTCAGAAATAGGGGGGAAAGCAAAAA